TCGGTAGGGTGACAGCAACAATGTTCTTCTGTCCTTCTTCTGCTGGAGGAACATCCTTCCTGTGCTCCCCGAGTTGTTCTCTGCTCTTACAGACATCCTCTGTCCCTGGCCACGTTGCCCTGCACAGCAGATTGCTCACCTCCACACAAAAGGGAAGGAGTTTGAGCAACAAACACGTGTCTCTTGAGATGATAAGCAGACCCTGTCTCACCACTGGGGGTAAATTACAAACTAAATCTGTATTTTAGAGAAGTAGAAAGAGACAAAGCAACGTGAACATTTGGAAGCCAATTTTAAACCACATCTTGAGTCAAACATAGAAAGAATTAGAATGATAAAAATATTACACAGTGTTTATCAGAGATAGTTTTTCTGTTAACTAACAGAAGCCTACTGTACACTCTACGGTGACTTAACAAAATGGAACCTACCTCCACGACCAAAATTGCCAAGATCATTGGGTCCACTAGTGCTGTTGTTTACTGGCAGACTTGTGGCAGGCCAAGAGTCTGCAAGCCAAGGATAACTGGGGTCACTTGCATTCAACAGACCTGGTCGACTGAAGCAGAATAAGAAAAAAAGATATACATATGAATATATATATATATGTATTATTTTTTTTTTACAAAAATTACATTATCTGTGAGACAACTAGTGACTGAAGGGATCATATCACTGTTCTCCTAACACCCTAGGTAAAAAACAGTTTAGGAGACTTTAATTTATTTCAAATTAAAATTGTGTAGCCTTTGATGATTTAAAGACCTTGAGCAGTTAATTAAGGATATATACAAATCAACTTTGTCAGTAGAAGTGGGACTAGGCATCCGTCGTGATTCTGTCAGAATCCAAATGAACTCCGTTGCCCGTGTGAACGAGGGGTGAGGCAGCACCACTGCGGGATCCCACGCCAGGGCTGCCTGATGAATCACCACCTCCAGGGAGCCATCACTCAAACTGAATGCTCCCTACCAGCCACTTCCAGGACTTCGGGCTACTATTTCTTCCTTCCCTTGCATCCCAAACGCACGCCTGTCATCTACAGGCTGGTAACCCTTTCTTAGAGCGCTCTTGGATGGTTTAGAGGCAAACAGGTTTGAGGAGGATTAATGGAAAGTCCACTGCTACCTTTATCTGCTGCCACTGCCTGGCTTTTCTATCCCTGCAATTCCCAGCTTTGAGAGCAGCGTTAAACAGCGAGTGTGTTCGAAGAGAAGGCTCACCTGGGCCATAAGGACCATGGCCCTCTCACCCAGGACAAACAGCCAGAAGCACAGCCAGGCAGGTGGATTGTTTGTATTTGCATTTAACAGCGAAAACAAATCATTTCCTGCAGTCAGCCCCTTCCCCGAAACGAAAACAAAACCCCATCTGCAGTTCTGCAGCTCTTCTGGGTTATTAATGCACTCATGGAGCTGGAGCAACATCTCCCATCCTTGTACGCTCTAGACCCCTGCCTGGTACAATCCCAAAGAGAAACATCGGTTTCTATGGAAACAGCAATAAGAAGACCCAGCCGCTTTCTTGCCACATCTACTCGCTCTCATTAGGCCTAATCTCTTTTTGCTAAAATATTGATTAAATGGGAGATTGGAAGTTATTACCAGGGCCTAATTACAATCTCCATATTGGCAAAGGGAAAATAGATGAGGATATATGGGCCCGTTATCAGCTTTTATCAATTTCAATTGAGTAGCCAAAGTTGTGGAATCCAGTCCTATCAATCTACAGCCTATTCATCATCCATGAATCATTTATTTTGTGATCGATTAAGTGTAATTGTTCACTCACAGCAATTTAGGGGGAGCCAATAAGGAATCTTAAACAACAGCAACTTCATTCGCTAATGTCTAATTAATGCAATAAACATCCCGGTAACAAATGAACACATTCCTTGTGATATTTACTACTCATTTCTTCCAGGGCATCTGGGAGATATGAAACATCTGGGCTTGATTCCTCCAAAGTGCACAACAGATAGGTCATTAAACCTTGTGGTAAGCCACTTAACTCCTCCTAGCATTGTCAACCTCCCAAATGATCAGTTATTACCCAAGTGCATCACCTATAACATTTTGCAGATCCCCTAAATAAGGTGGAAAGACCTTTGTACAAAGAAACATACCTTCCATTGCTCATTAGTCCTCCATCTCCTCTCTGGAAAGTGACTGTGTTTTGGTTGGAAAAACAAAACAAACAAACATACACACACACGCACACACATATAAGACAGGGAAAAATCAATTAGTAATAATTAAAAGTAACAATTCAAACTACTCAGTGTCTGAGCTCAGAGGCCTCTTGGCATCATCACATAAGAAAGTACAGAAAATAGCAGACAAGGATCAAACACGTCAGGGTTACAGTGTGTTCAGGATTTCACTGCACCTTATTGACTAACACCAGTTTGCTCGGAATTTACCCCAGGCCCCCTCATATGACTTTGCAAGACCGTGCCACGCGATGAGATTGTTTTCTTGGCATGCTCTTGCTTCAGTACATAACCAGACATTGCTCTGGTGAGTTAATAACCTCGTGTCGTAACGCGATGATCTAATGTCACCGCACAAACACGCCATTTCCCAGGACAAACACAGAGGTGGCAGCTCTGTGAGGGCTGAAGGGGGGATCCAAAGCGAGCAGCCGCCCCGTTCCCATCAGCAGCACAGTGCAAGAACCAGCACCCACACACCAGTGCACACACACAACACTATTGCTGGGAAGAAAAAGCGTTTCCAGTCTTGCCGTGGGCGATGACAAGGATACGTTCAGAGAGAGACAATTGTTTTTATGGTTCCATTCACGGGTGTTTGACAAAAACCAGACTGTCCCTTATCTGTCTTATTAACAGGATTACAGTTCAGGGCAATATAGGTAAGCCCACATTACTGGCGAGATGCTAATTGACAACGTTTGATGCTCCTTTTTCAAAGCACTGGCAAAGATTTCGAATCAAGGCCAACAGACTATTCTGGTTTGCAGTGGCAATATCCCATTATTTATTGTCAGGCATAGATAAGGCAGACTATTAAATTATATCAATGCCCCGGACACCCACATCCTTACGGGCCCCTGACAAGATGAGCGTCCAAATTTCAGAGAGGAATGGAAGAGGCTGTGGCAGTTTAATTTGCAATAGGCCTTGGTTTGGAAATACTATTTACCTTTGTAAAACAGACATTCCTGTCATTAAATTATAACTCCCAGAATATTTGCAGGATTTTCCAAATATCAGACCAAACCCCACTAGTTCAAGATGAGGCTTCCTCTTATACACCACACTAATCAGACAAAATTACTACACCCAATAGAAATGCTGTGATCATTTAAAAAATCAGCAGTGACATAAATCCACTGGGAAAATACTTCTGATACCTTATAGAATCCTTGTCACTTTATTAACAACTAGGATAGATAATTTCACAGTCTACATTTAGCAAAGGGGACAAAAGTGGTCCGTCTGGAAGAGTGCTTGGGTAGGGTGATTAATTACCCTTCACTGCAGAACAGACTAATATCAATATCAGAAAATCGCTGCAGTCATATGTCACATCAGAATGGTTAATAGCTGAATTTTGAAAGAATGTAATCAAACCAATTAATGAAAAGAAAATCAAAATGCGAGTATGGTAAGTATTAAATAAAAGTCTGCTTTGAAAAACAAGACATGGTAAAACATTGCAGCTAATTAATTTTAGAGCCGATGCTACTTTCATTCACGTTGTTCCTAACAGGCTGTCAAGTGCCTGTGTCACTCCTTGTGTAAAAGAGAATAATCTGAAGTGCTGTGGATAGATGAAGATGCAAAGAGGTGGGTACTGCCTGGCTATGTTTCAAAGTATGTTGGTCAAAAGTACGTTAGATGCTGTTTCTTTTCTCCTCCCCTTTAAATTTAATACTCCATTTCTCCAACTTTCTGCATTTGTTAAAGCGACAAGAAATAAGGAAACTGAGAAACAAAGGTGCATTCAGTAACAACCCTTATAAATAAAGTTTACAGATTTAAGGGAATTCCAGTAAAACATATTTTCTGAAAACTTCTCAGGATTAATGCTCTTGTTTAGACTGAAATCTACCAGAAATAGTTTTAAAGTGACATTGTCACCACTTGTATAGCGCGCATAGGTATGTGAGACTTTAACTATGCATGTCATATGGAAAAAAACAACAGATGAATACTTGTGGTCTTCAAAATATTTAAATCCCTTGTGTACCTTTATAAAGCAAAGCTAAAATGGGGGAGCATGTAGGAGATTGGAGCAATTTTTGACATACATATTTGATTTTCCATGTAGTGAGGTATGCAAAAATCTCCAAGGCACGCTGTGAGAAACACATCAAGAAGACATGGCATGGAGATCTCCTCACCAGAGCCATCGTTGCTGCAGGTGGGCTGTGGCATACGAGCTGCTTGAGAACAGACAGGCATCACAGCATTTACTCCTTTTCTGCTCTCTGTGTATCCTGGTGGTAGTAACTGTTTCCCGGGGATTTTTTCCTACATTAAATAATCTTACACCTTCTCAACGTCAAGACTTCAGAAGAAAAGTTCACCTTAGTTTATTAAAAAAACCCAAACTTGTCTTGCAGTGACATTGTTTCTCCTGGGGAAGGCTGTGCCTGGCTCATGCGATGTGGATGGAACTGGGAAGGAACACAGGATCTTTCCTTTACCCTCCACCCCGTTTACTACTGCACAGATGGTCATCATCTTCATGAGAATATAAGAAAGTATTTTAGTTACTATTTGTGGTGGAAAAGCCTTTGGAATATCAACTAAGCTAACCAAAATTCCTCTTGAAGTGCGGATATATCATCAGGATGTTACAGAAAAAAAATCATATTCCTGCTGCTATCCATGAATGGGCTACCTGAGGCTGGGGAGAGAAGGTGCCTTTCTCTTAGCATCAATATTGTGAAAGGAAAGACAGCTAACAACACAAGATATGGTCAGGCTGCCAACACAAGCACTGTGTTTATCATTCCTGCCATACGTTTTGTCAGCATTTTTGCCTGCAGTTTGATTCCTGCAATTACAAAACAAGTCTGAACGCCTGGATGGGAGCAGACTTAATGCAATGCAGGCTTGTAGATGTCACTGTAAAAATAAAACACAGAGACAGCTGGCTTTATTCATCCTGTCTCCACTTCAAAAAGAAGCAGAGCAATTTCAAGGGGCAATGTAAGAGGAGGAAGGGAAGGATGTCCCTATCACTGACCCACCCATCTCCCTTGCCTTTTATCACTGAGGAAGCAAAAAAGCTCTTTCAGCACTCTTTGCATCTGATATATGTTCTTAGAAAAGCTGAAGACCTGCAGGGATGAGATTGGTTTTCAAAAGAAGATGAAAAAATAACCTCTGCATAGAGAGATTTTGAAGGAATCCCCACCAGCTTATGCTTCAAGGAACTGTAAAAATGCAGAAATATAATCCAAAGGGCATATAAAATGCGTAAATATTTAAGGAAATTATATTGTCTGTATTTGTATGAAGAACAGCATATGTTAGGGAGCTTTTCACATGCTTTTTATTAACTATATAAGGAGATACCCAAACCATTCACTAATATTATCTGACAAGGTTAAACTTAATCTTCATGCCTGCTAGAATTGGAAAAATACGAATGTATAGTAAGTTGACATTCTGAGGCAAGAAAGCTTTAGAAAGCTTTAGAAAGCTTTCTGTCTGCCTATCTCTAGCAGGCCACATTTTCCTACTGCAAATGAAAACTTTAATGTTGCCAGCCAAGTCTCATTCCTTTTTCTGATAAGCTGTTCCTCAAATATGAATGTAGATTAATCCGCTTTTAATAAGCATTAACTCAGAACAGATAATCAGCATATAAAAATTCCATCAAATCTTCTGTCTACCTTTGGATGATTCTGTCAAATAATTTAGCCTCATTTAACAGTTTCAGGAGTTGTGCCTAAAATGTGTAGCATTCCATAATTCTCTTATCTATTTCTCTTTTGTTTTTGTTTACTCAGTTTCATGAAATCTTTAATCCCAAGGAGCACTAGTCACTAAATAAGCTTACCTACTCATAAGTGAAAAATACATATTTACTTTCTTTGCATGACTGATGGCCTAGACACTTGAAAACACCTGAGTGTTCAAGTGAGTGGGTACTGGCACAAAGCAGCAATCTAACAAACACAGTTGAAATTCATATGTTTTGTAGTATTGATGTTCCTGAGAAAAAAATGACACAGTCAAATCTGCGTGCTCTGCAATTTTCTGCAGGAAGAATTTAAAGCAGATGCCTGAACAAAAAGTGTGCACCTTCTGAAATCTGAGTATATTAGGATAAACTCATCCTTAGTAAAACTTTATTGACAGCTGTCTGATGAGATTCTGAAAGCTACAGACCACTGTCTAAATATTTAGATCTGAAACCAAACTGTTTATGAAACACAACAAAGAAGGGGACAACATACAGCTGGGAGTGCCATCAAACCTACACAAGCATAGGTATATTTGTCTAAACGAAACTATCAATGGCAAATTAAAATATTACAGAACTAGAGATGTTTCTTAGGGAACTCAGGGTATAAAGATAAAAACATAGACTATGTTCTTTCATAAGAACATTTTTTTTAAATTAATGATTTTATTTTTTTTTTTGGCTGTGACTACTGGGTGACTTAGGTCACCTCTCAGTGCCTCCAAAAATGATCACAGGCCAGGAAATAGAACTATGTGCTGTTGTAGTTCTACAAAGTCTGTGAGATGTCAGAACTATTTTTAAAAAGGCGAATTTCTGGCAGTGCCTCTGACATATCCCAGTTGCCCAGCACGTGTGGATCAGCTGCACTGAATCATGCCCAGTCACCGTGGCTTCAGCACAACCCTGTGTTGTGCCAACGTAAGCTACAAAGACAACGGGAACAACTCACCACAGTTACAGACAGTGAACAGCGGCATAATCACGGGAAACAAATGCAAAGATGCATCAAAAATCCCATGCTGTGTCTCAAAGAAAAGCAAGTAAAGCCCTTAGGGCAGGATGTGTTGGGCCACAACTTATTTGGACTTGGACAGCTTTGGAGACCTCAACTGAGGGGCTGAGCTACGCACAAAACCCCTTATAGAGTGCTCCTGTAAAATCCTGGTATTTATCAGCCTTTTACGCTGAGGTATAGCTACTTTTGAGTTTTTGAATCTCAAGCTTAGGTATGAGAGCAGAAGCTAATTATTTGTGTCAATTATTGCTATTAATTGCATATTCCATTTTCCCTGGCTATCCATATGTTGACTAAGCTGTTTGCAACCTGCTGTTTCAGCCGCACTTTGTTTATTCTTCACATATCTTTAATCATGCTTACGATAACGGCCTCCCGTATGCTATGGTTATTAAAGATATGAAAAACTAGGATATCAGCCTTGATTTGGGCAGGCAGAAATAAAGCAAAGGCTTCAGTTTCAAGCCCACTGGAAAGGCAATGCATGCATAGGTTAATCACTGGCTTGCTTGCAGATCTGAACACCTCCCGATAAGGCAGATGTATGTGCAGCTAACAACTAAAGTGGAAGAAAGTTTCCTTTCTCCAGTCAGATCTTAAAAAATGTTTGAGATACTTTTTCTGAGCTTTAAAATCAAAATTCAATTATATATGACTAATGCTTGCTTATGTTAAGTTAGTTCAAGCATCTTGTCCTGCAAATTACTTTCAAAATGGCACTGTTTCGAGGAGTTAGATGATGAGCAAGAAGTATGCAGAATTAGAATGACAGAGGCATTAATGGTGGTAGATTTTATGTCTCCCTGGAATCACTAGAAGAACTAATGGAACATTTTTATCACAGACAGGCAGCAGAAGTATTTCTCCCTGTATTTGGTTTTAATTCTGCATACCTCACATATATAAACACTCAGATAGCCAATGTTTGCAATGATGTGTTGGTGAGGTAAGAGACAGACTAATGGACAGTACCTGCAGGGGTGAAGGTGAAGGACTGAACTGCAAAACAAGAAAGCAAACACATTGTGAGTTACACACCCTGAGAACAAGCGCTAATTGCAGGGCACGAGCTTCCTCTGGAATCGACTCAGTTGTGGTTGAATATCATAAGCAGGACATAACAGTTGAGCTTAAAGCACTAACCAGCCAGCAGCCCATGAGAAATGATGTTTGGAAAGGTGAGCATTGAATTTTGACAGTCACATCTGAAGACTTTGTACATGGACATGCTGTTCTCCACACTGTAAACATTAGGATGGATTTTGAAGCATGATCTGTTATGAAATTTCCTTGCTGAAAGCACACACTATTTAATAATTCTGATAATGGGAATTCTGTGTCATGATGCCATGTTCACACCACACTTAGATGCAGCAAACATCATGAGAAGGAATGAGTTGCAGGAGACACACTGTTTAGAATGACTGTTATAATTATTTACAGCTACACATTTCAAGGTATAACAGACTGTGCTCTCAATCTCCCTCCCAGCCCCTCAACATGCCAACTCGTATTTCTGCCTTTTAAAAAAAGAGCAGTCTTAGCTTGTGTCCCAAGCTTATGTACTGGACTGCTTCCTACAAGGAATAACAGTACAGCTGTCTCTTCATATGAAAAATCTTGGGATCTAGACTGATACTTAACACGAACACATGTGTAGGGGTGTGTGATATATGTTAGTTTATCAATTAACACCATCCCAGAGAGTAAAAGTCATTGGTGTTAAGGAAAGGAAAAAAACCACCTTGTCAAAAAGCATAACATATGGATGAGACAGGCCACGTGGTGGCACGCGGTGAGGTCCTACAGAAACAGTCCAAGAGCCACCGAAAGGGTCTCTCCTCCCTCTGCACTGGCTGTTGCTCATCTCATTCCTCCTTGGGCCAAGGTGGGGAGACACAGGACTGTTTGGCTGGGAGCAGGGAACAAACATGTTTTTCTGGCAAGTTGTTAAAGATGCTCAGTGACCTAGAGAACCTGTTTCCTTGGGTTCCCACCTGTCGATGGAAGAGTCCTAGTGCAACTTTAGTGTGATACAGAATCACAGAATCATAGTGGTTGGAAAAGACCTTTAAGATCATCAAGTCCAACCATGAACCCAACACTGCCAATCCCACCTCTAACCCACGTCCCTGAGCACCTCGTCTACCCGTCTGTTAAATCCCACCAGGGAAGGTGACTCCATCACCTCCCAAAATAGGATGTCAACATTAAATATGCTATGTCCTCAACTGAGCAAATCTTGCTCAAAAAGGAAATGCTTTCTCTTTTTAAATGTATTATATAATAAGCACTAGAAGAGAACCTACCCCGGTATTTGAAGAACAGCTTTTTTGTGATAAATTATGCTTCAGAGTGACCCATGTTATGGTAATTCACCTGACTTCCTAAAAATCCCTCAGAATCCTGAAGTATAGAATAATACACAAAACAAACAGGTTGGGGGAGGAAGAAAATATTTTCATTTGTCCAAATGTAGTTTTCAAAAACTGATTTGTAACTTGCAGCAACACATTTGGTACAAGAGGGTACACACTGTGAGGGCGTTCCAAGGTGTCCTACCTCCAAGATAAAAATTTTTATGGCTTCTGTCGTAGGTGAATTTTGACCACGCTTCTCTAATACATCACTCCCTTCTCCTCCAGCTACAGGTGTGGAGCCACTGATTAAGTACCTCTGTTCATTTCCCATACATATGGCTTCAAAGACATGGAAATGCGAGGGAATGAAGAAGGAGAAGACCAAATACTCTTTCTAACCTTCCTTGTAAGGGTCTAGTCTAACTCACACTTGCTCACATAAATGTAGCCAGAGTACTAACAGAGTGCCTTCTGAGCAAGGAGCAAGAGGTGCAGTTAATCCTCTTTGTACTTCCTTATGCTAGAGGTGTGCTGGAGATGTGAAAATAAAGGTTGTCTGATGATAATGATGAAATGTGGTACCGAGCAATGCATTGAAAGCTTCTCATACACCAGCATTTTCACAGCATACACTTAAAACAAGCATACAAAATTCACCCGGGCCACCTTTGCTCTAAGTCCAACATGGTTTTTCAGTAGGTTGAACAGCACCTCTTCTCTTCATGACAGAACCTCATCAGATGGTAATAAACAGATACTGTTCTTACCAGCGTAATTGCTGAGCCCCTTCCTCTTCTTTCTGCGCCAGTACAGCCAGATGCTGAAACCCATCAGAATTACCCAACACGCCCCTCCGATGCCAGCTATGAAGGCAGGCTGCTTGACAACATCCGTGATCTGCTCAGTTATGCTGTTGTTATTTTCAGTGATGACAACTTCGTTACGACCTCCTGCACAAAAGACATTTGACAGAACGTCGTCGTTACAGATTCTGTAAGACAAACAGGAACCAAGTACTGCAAATTAAAAATAAAAAAACCCCAGTAATGCACCTCAAAAGAATTATCCACAGTAGGAGAACTTTAATGAGTACCCATGCACACCTGAAACCCACTGTTTCTAGGAATTAAATCCATAATCCATTGCGATTTTGCAAACATATATTTGAAAAGATAGCTCTATAGCACTCTCCCAAGTGATCTAACAGACAACAACCCAGAGCCTGTTTTTTACCAATATACATGTTTGTTGGTTTGTTTTTACATAATTATAGACAAAATATGATGATAAGAAAATGCATCATAGGAAACCGATAGAAAGAAAAAATAATCAAGCAATCAATAAATAGCTTTTTCCAAATGAGAAATCCAAATACCAAATACGCTACAACATCAAAAGACCGTTCCTTCTCTCACTGTTGTCAGCTTGCCAGAAAATCTTAACTCTCTTTTTCCTGATGCATGCTAGAGTTTCCAAATTTAAAATAAAAAAATAAAATATATGTATTTTCAATTGGGGCAAAGATGCATTTTCCAGCAATTATTTAATGGGAATTATTAACATATGTAATCCATACAAATCCTGAATGCACCGGCTTTGACACAAAGCAGAAAATTGCATCGTTAACTGTAAGCTCTAAACAATCACAGCAACAGATGCTATTTTTTTTCACCTAGAACAGGCATGAAAAATTCTTAACATCAACCTGTAAGAAATAATTATGATGTGGAATACCAGTTAAAGTGGCATGCATCAAAAATTAATATATAGGATATTAAATTGCATATATTACATTAGAAAACTGTAAATTTCAGTAGATGTTCCCATTGTTTCCCCCCCTCCTCTGTCTCTAAAAGGCAACTTTTTCAAAAGGAAAAGCTCGGTGTCTGGCTTGAAAACAACTGTGCACAAAAATGTGAATGGAAATTCAGGAAACCCTAAAGCATACAGTTCTAGGGCCGGCACTTTTCTACTTCAGACCTTCCCTTGTCAAAAACGGTTAGTTTTAAAATCGGGAAATGCGGAACATATTTTTCTGCAGAAAACGATGACTATTGATTACATGTACATTTGATATAAAGGGCCCACATCTGCTGTTTTCAAATTGGTGAAAGAATTATCCATCGTTTCCGGTAAAAGCATTTATATAGCGCCAGCCCTGAAACGTGGTGTTATCAGCTGCCTGTGTGCACGCACAAGAGCTGCGGGAGGAGCTGCTCTGCTCAGACAAAAACCACAAATACTGCGATTATTAATTACCAGAGTCTGTCGTGCACACGTAAAGGCAGCAGAATGTGGCAATAAACCACCAAAATGCTCATTCAGAGGAAATTATTGAAAGTTCTGCAGCATTATTCCTTGCTGTCAGAAGGTATTAACTCCTCTCCCATCATTCAGCACTGGTTAAATGTCCCGCTCGCCCCTCTCGCCAGAACGGGCCGGTGGCAGCACACTGGCTCCAGCCCAAAGCAAACACTCGGGGTCATCGGCTGAAGCAGACGCTTCCAGCTTTATTTCCAGGGACACCTCTTTCCAGGAGAGTCAGAGTTTACAGTAGCCAAGCTGTGAACGAGGATCTGTGGCTTCCCCACGCCGGCCTGCACCTCCACCACGGGGACCGGCTCTGCCTCAGCCAGGCCACAGCTCCAGGCCCTCTGGTCGAGTTACCTGGAGCATCTCCCTGATGAGGAGAAGCTGAGAGACCTGGCTCTGTTCAGCCTCAAGAAGAGAGGACTGAGAGGGGACCTTATCAAATTTTACAAACACCTAAAGGGTGGGTGTCAAGAGGATGGGGCCAGACTCTTTTCAGCGGTGGCCAGTGACAGGACAAGGGGTAACAGGCACAAGCTGGAATACAGAAAGTTCCACCTGAAGATGAGGAAGAACTTTCCTGTGAGGGTGCCAGAGCCCTGGGACAGGCTGCCCAGAGAGGCTGTGGAGTCTCCTTCTCTAGAGATGTTCAAAACCCCACTTGGACACGATCCTGTGCAACCTGCTCTAGATGTCCCTGCTCTAGCAGGGGGGTTGGACCAGATGATCTCCAGAGGTCGCTTCCAACCCCCACCATTCTGGGATTGAGTTGCTCAGGAAGAAATGTGATGAACTGCATTACATTGCTATCACACTGTTAATGATCTCGGTGATTTTATTAAGCTTTCTCTCTTTCAGCATCATGTCAATATTTAGTCATGATGACCGTCTGCTTTGGCAACCAGACAGTTGAAACTGCGCTAGAGCTTGGCTTGCTTTCAGTAGCTCTGTGCAAGAAACAAACCAGGCTTCCCGCACACCAAAGAGGTCCCACAGAAGGATGCTGACAGACTACACCTGCTAAAAGGCAGTGCACCAGTACTGGTGTTATCCACCAGTCTATACTGGCCATGCTGGTACGCTGTATCACCTGCAGCTTTCCTCTTTTTCTTGCCACTGCCAAAAACCTCGATGGTTTCCAGTCCTGATGCAGTAAGTGAGAGTAACACTCAGTGAGCACCGGTGACAAGGAAAAGAAGGGTGGCAGCAGTGGCTGCTTTATCGGATTTTCCCCGTTTTTTGTGCCCATGGAACCAATCCATAGGTGCCCCCCAGTGCTGAAAGAGGAAGTGCTGGGAGTAAAACTAATAGAAAGAGGCACTCTACAGCATGCTCTTCCAAGCACACAATTGATTTTCTAGTCGAAATCAGCATGGGAGCTGATGTTGCTCTAATTGCCATTAACTTTCAGTTAATTTCCGTGCCCTTTGGAGCTGAGGTAAAAGCAGTGGGGTGGTGAGGAAAGGGGTAATGTCAGCTGAGCAGGGCAGGGACGTGTTTCAGGGACACTGGCTTTGGGAGGAGACACTCCTGGACTCGAGAACAGAACCACTGCTTCCTGCTAAAGCCTCCAAAAGATCCCATGTTCTTCTCTAAGGTCAGCAAACGGTCTTTTGAGAACAGAGGACGTGAGAGCAAACTGCAGAGAGCCTGCGGGGAGGCTGCAGCGGACTTTACGCTCTCCCTGACTTCTAGGGGAAGGTGCAATCAGCCTCAAAATCACCTTCTGAAGTTGGCAACCTGGCTGGTTGCTCTCACCTTTCAGTGCCTAGCCATTGCCATTGCAAAAGTAATCATTCACTCACATGTCTAAATAACATATGCTTTGTGGATTTGGTGACCGAAAAGGAAATGGCTACAGACGAATGTCACCCACCGATGTTTCATAACATTAATATAATTGTTGGGGTTTGGGGAAACAAATGACATGATTTTTTTTTTTTCTTGGTATGATATTTAAGCAGAAGAAATAAATATGTCATCCAAGGTACCCGGGTACTATTTCATATAGTGCAGGTGTTTCCCTAACAATGCTGTCAGTTCAACTAATTAGAACATAGACAAGGGAAGTGTGTGACCTGTAACGCTCCATTGTTCCCGAAGACAAAAACATAATGAAATATAATGTCTTCCTCCCATTGGAGAGTAACGAAGAACAAAACTAATTTGTTGGACCAAAAATTAATTAGACACATCAGATTCGATTGTACCTATTACTGTGAAAGTTTGCAGCTGTTCCTCATATTATTATGCCATTGATGGAATGTAAGAGTGAACAGCCCAACTGATGAAGAGAAAGAACAGCTATACTGTCATCCAACATTGCCACTGTCTCCAATTTTTTTTCTGGTTTCCAAGTGAAATTTTTGAGGATATCAATAGTGATCAAAAAATTTTACTCTTTATTCTCTTTGAGTGTCCTGTAAATTTTTTCAACTTCTTGCTTGAAGTAAAGGCACAGAATTGCTGTAACAGTGACACAATTTCTAACTAAAGAAACAATATACTTCCTCCTGCTTCATGTCTCCTTGTCTTACTTTCTCGAATGTTACATGTCTGTTAACTAGAACTGGTCTGGGAAGTCAGTAGTTGGTTATCCACCACAAAAAACAGTTACTTTCAGAAAAAAACTTTTTCTTAGATGAACATATCCTATATTTAAGAATAACATTTCTTTTTATACATTGGACTTTCTTTTATGACAATGAAAGTCGTGCTGTTTAGTAGTACGTGGCTTAACTCTTCTGCATCACTGACCTGCTCTCTCTGTAATTCAGCATTTCTGCAGTTCTTCATTCTGTTTGCAAGCTGTTCATCCCCTAAATGCCAGATAACTTTTTTCTTTCTTTAGTACTTTCTTTGTATCCTCTGACAGTTCCACTGGGCTGGCCCTTGGCTAGCAGCCAACACAGCCGTTCTCCCAGTGTCACCCACCCCCAGGGGACAGGGGAGAGGATTGGGGGGCAAGGGTAAGGAGACTCTTAGGGTGAGATAAGGACAATTTAATCATTAAAATAAAAGAAAACTTAAAATAATAATACTAATATTAAAATAGTAATGATAATAATAACGGCAACAAAATATGCCAATGAGTAACACCCAGTGCCATTGCTCACCACCTGCTGACCAAGCCCGGCCCGTTCCCAGATCACGATCCCGGAGGAGCGACAATCCCGACCCGAAACCGCAATCCCGGGAGAGCCAGAGCCCGAGCCAAAGCCAGAGAGAGCAAGAGAGGAAGAGCCCCTCATGGATCTCCTGCCCATGGGGGACAGGAGATGGAACAGCCCCTTGGCAGAGCCCAATGCCCACGGAGCTGATCCACTGTAATATTCCTCACCCCTGAGATCTTGCGCGTCGACCAGCAAAACACAAAGTCCTTCGACTTCCAGCGACAAATGAAAACATCAGTGCGTTACCAAAGTTTTTCTCCTAACAAATCCCAGCTGAACCCAAACCCCAGCGCTGTTCTACCTGCTGAAAACAAACCAGCTCTGGCCCAGCTAAAAACCAGGACAATCCTAACGTCCCTTTCCTGCTTTCTGCAACAATAGAGATCTCTCCACATTTAACCCTTGACCATCCAAGTCATTTTTTGTAAGGAAAAAGTCAGGATGAAGGACTGTACCCAGACACAGGGCTGAACATTCTGGGAGTCATCCAGCAAAGCACTTTAGTGCAAGTTTAACTCACAACATATTAAGCTACTCACGTGCTTAAAACACAATGCACTGAAGTGTTTTGCTGGAACAAGCCCAGTGTGTTTAGTGCCCAGTGAGGTGGACTCCCTAGTGAAACAAGAAAAACGTCCTGCCCAAAGGGAACATAATGACCGACTACTCTCAACAGCAGCTGCTTACACAGACATCCAAGATTCAGCCCTATTAGATGTCAGGTTTCTTGCATTTTCAAAAATCAACTTCTTGTTTTCAGTTCTAGAAAACTTTTTCCCCTCTTGCCTTTGGTGCTTCTGTGACTGCCTTTTCCTAAAAACCAGAGTTACCTTCACCTCCACTGTTATGTCTCCTTCTCCAGTAGCAACATATTCAAAGCTGACGTGCCCCAGATTCTGTTTTGATGCACAGGGAACCTGAATATCATTAAAAATTTAAGCAGTGCTTAGGGGACGGCCTTTTCTAAAATTGCACACATAACAGAATATTCTACGTTTGGGACATTACGTTGACAACATTTTCTAGATAGGAAGAAAATATTTAATAACAACAACAGACCCATAAATAACAACAACAAAAAAGCCTATTTAAGTAGTAACTAAGTCAGACCATACAGCTAAAAGCAACAAAATTCCTGTATTATGCACTCAAGAGGTGCTGCTCTGCACAGCTCAATTCAGTTTTGCTAAATATGGTCACTTCTCCTATCCCTTCCTATATTGTTCCTGCCTTTGTACTTTATACTTGAGAAGCATTTCAGGAGCAACAGAAGGTGCGCTTCCCTCGGGTCAGGACATTAATTCAGCATGGAAAACACTACTCAGGAACAGTCACGTCAAAGGCAGGGATGGTATTACCACCTTTGCTCTCTAGCTGGACTAGAGGCCACTTACTCTTGGACAGAGGAAGCTCCTCTGCTTGGGACACCTGAGAAACACTGACAGTAAATAGTGCCTCAGGTGCCAACGGTGCGAGTAAGGCAATAGCACAGTCACCTGAACAGAAGGAAAAGGGAGCCCAAGTTGTTAGTTCCACAAATCTGTCAACCTGCAGAAGCGGTAAATTAATTTAAAAAATAATTAAATCCGTTTCACTAGATAATCTGCATTTTCTCACATGTGTCAGGAACACATTTCCCTCCACAAAGAGAGGACACGCCATCAGCAGGCAGTGGGACACGAAGAGTTAATTAACTCACGCTACCCAAATCTCATCTTTTGCTCCACGGATTTTCATATTTCCAGAAAGTGATTTATGAAAGCTTTTCCGAAATTCAAAACAGGCAAAACAAAACAAAACAAAACAAAGCAGACAATCACTTACCAATTATTATGGGCTGTGGCTCACTTTTGACTCCCACACCTGCACTGGTGCTCGCAGCAACTTCCACGCGGTACTGAATACCTGGATACAGGCCACCTATTACTACCGACCGAATGGCTGCATCTACTGTTTTGTTGACATGAAATCGAGTTTCATTACCTAGGCACCAGATCTGGGACAAAAGTTGATGTGTTAAAAAAAAAAATTGAAATTCTTCACACTCATAAATAATCACGCATAGATATGACACAGCAAGGTACTGCACAACAATCACTTCTTTTGGATTTCACAATATTACTGCCCAGGAGGAGCTGGAAATGGGATGATTCAACCCAGCAGTCTCTCCCAGATTAGCACAGGACCAAGCCAGCTGCAAAGACTGCTTGCAAATACCTCTCTGGACTCCGGCCCTCCATGGAGCACAAATTCTGTGGTTATGCTTCTTAGAACTACAGAGCAGAATTATCCAAGTGAAAAAGAGGCATTATATATTAATTGAAATCTTGCTAATTGAAATACAATTACCATTAAACCTTTCCTAAAAAAAACCCCAACACTTTTTTTTTTTTTTTCCCCGAATAGCAAAAGGACATAAAATAATACATGTATGGGTTAAAACACTTCTTAAAGTAGTAAAGAAGAAACAATTTTCAAAATTATTTTCTTCTTCCTTTCATTGCACAACAGGGGCATGTGAAGTTTCTGAAACGAAGTGCCAACTCACTTTTTACTGCTGCTGTTGTGATTACTTACACTGTTCAGGAATCCAGATAGCAGTTCCTGACTCAATTACTCTCTAATTAAACAGAAAGAATCACTCTATAATCTCAACTGGCATTTTGTGATGAGAACCATCTATGATTTCAGAGTGTTATTTCTCTCCCCTGCATTTTCCCATAGGCTTTTCCCAAGAAGTTTCAAAACTAAGACCTTTCAGGGATTCTTCTTCAGTTAATGTTCTCTACACACACTGCTTCTGTATTATTGAAGAAAGCATTTACTACCACTCCAGAAAATCAATCCATAAAGATATCAAATGTACACTGCATAATTATAATAGCAGAAGAAAGCACTGTTGGTGTGTCTAAACAACAGCAATGCTCTCTTTAGCTTTATTTTTGACACTGCTCAGTGTTTTATCACATCTTATATTTTTTTCTGTGAAACACTGAGGAAGATTTGGAGGGCAGAAGAAACCCTTGTTCTCCTAAGCTCAAGTAGATCTTATTTGCAGGCCAGAATGCATTGGGGTGAGGAACTACTGCATTCATTCTTTCACTCCTTGTCTGTCCTGGTCTTAGGTTACAGCAGCTATGAGACACCTCTAATTAAAGGCATTTATTCATAAATGAATTTACCAGCACTCTGTTGTTTGAAATGGAATCAACAGACCCACATTCAATTTGTCAGAAAACGTGCTGTGAAACCTCAGCAGTCATTTTACACTCAAGGAAGTATCAGACTTTGCACTGTATTCACTGCAGCCAGCTCACAAATCAGGCAGCTCCCTCATCTAACGCACAAGGGATGTAACAGGTAGTGACTCCAGCTGGTTTTATAAACAGCCCCGGGTCTGAGCACTCACCTGGAACATGGCTTTTGTTAACCATCAGCCCGCTTTGTTTCGTATCTACATATTTTGTGGTTTAGGAGTGTGCTTTACTTATTTGCCTAAAAGCCCTTGATAGTTAATATTGACTTATACTGGAGTCAGTATCAAGATTAATTAAGCCAAAAGATAATTATTAATTGATATGAAAATGAGATCAATAAAATACTGGGATTAATAAATCTTGATATTGACTAAAAGGAAAACAAAAGAAATGCCACGCTAAACATAAATATTGTGAATATTTACTGCATCCCTTTGACCAAGTGAGAAACTGGAAGTGATTTAACCATTAGTTGATTTAAAAGTCAAGCACATTCTCCCTTCTCGATGCTGTGTTCCCTCAAGATACAGCAGGGGAAAAAATTATGGCTTGGTGTGTGAAATAAGCTGTATCTTTGTGGGAGTGTCAAGAAAGCTGCCCTGCTCTATTTAAATTAAAAATTCCACACTGGGTATACAAGCCAACCACAGCAAAGCTATTTAACTAACTGTGTTCCATGGTCAGAAGCCCATGATGATGCTGAACCTCACCTGACCATTTTATCCATAGTTCTCCACCCTGAAAACACGCGGTATTTTTCCATGTTGTGAAAATAGACTTGTGCAAAAGTGAGCTTAGCAGGGAATTACAGACTACAACAAAATTTAAGATGATATATAAGGAGTGGATACTTTGAGTCATCATAGCAACAAAGAAGGAGAAAATACAACTAAAAAAACCAAGCTCCCACAAAACAAACTGGATATAGTAGGGGTGGTGGTAACCTGTTCCTCAGAGCAAACCTCCTGGCACTTTAGGTTGTGGATCTCGACAGAGAGAGTACTTGGGAGAAGTCTTGTGTTCTCCCAGAGCCACAGTCTTTAACTTTGGCCTTTGATTGTTAGGATCAGCATTTTTGCAGGGGAAAAAAAAGAGGTATCTTTCCCGCCAGCTCTTCTCTAAGACAGGGTCTTCACTGCCTCTCTTGAGAGTGTAGAAGCCCTTAACAAAAAACCCTTCTCCTAGTTCCACAGCAGAGAAAAGCAGGAGAAGCACTGTAAACTAGCTGGAAACTACAGCTCTCTTCCAGTTCTAGCTCATGGCATTTTTGCTTTGAATATGACAGTAGTACTGCTTAAAAAAAATAATTAAAAAATCCATAAGCAGTCAGTCCTCTTTCTCCATATAATTATATGGGTGGCTGTAAACCCTGTCAGGATCTACATCCATAAACAGTACTACTGCTCTGTAATCCAAGCAGGCTTTTCCCTTGAGCACACACCCCTCCCATTGCCCATCGTTTCTACCTTGTACTCCTGGATGACTCCGTTTTGGTGATCTGGAGGGGGAGGATCCCAGGAGATGCTGATGCTTGTGCTGTTGTGGTTTCCAACCGTCAGGACAGTCACAGATTGAGGAGGAGCACTTGGAGCTACACGAAGGAGAGGGAACAAACATAAGCAAATCATTAATCCATTTGCTAGAGCAGAAATTTTGCTGAAGGGGTGTAAAAGCAAGCAGAGGATATACCAAGCTCGCCCTCCCCGCAGGCCAAGGCACGCACGTTTTGTTAGGCACTGACAATTTTGAGAAATGCCTTTCTGAAGGGAAGCACAGTGCTGAATGCCAATGTGGAATTCACAGCAATGCAGAATCAATACAAATCACTCCTCATTTATTTATATTTAGCATTTCTTAAGTTCACCTTGGAATTATTCTCACACTTGCATTTGTTTGCCGTAATATGCACGGATAGCTATGGATATATTGACTAAGTCGTAACGAGAGGTGGCTTCACCTGGCCTGAAAGCTGTTTGGATCCTTCCTTCCCCACATGGTTTAATAAGAATCTGAGCAGCAGATGTTTAAAGATCTCTTTTTGTTTCCTTTTTAATCTCAAGGAAGACATTAACTAAACAGATTCAAATGTAAAGCCTTGCAACTCCGAGGTGGAAAAGGGTTAAAGTGCTCAGGGCTTTACCTCAAATGCCAGTGAACAGAGAAGGTGCTAAGTTAGGTCAGATATATACTTATGTCCTCCTTTCCCCTGGAAAATCACTCTCTCTTCAGAGTCCCGTTCAGTTCAACCATTCACAGCAGTTTGACTGGTCACTGCCTACCAAGACCTTATCTACAAGACAATTGCTGGCCAGCCCTGTTACATTGGCCAGAAATGTGGAAAAAACCTAAAAAATCACAGCTGTTAGTGAACAGAGCTTAAAACCAGTCACTTAAAACTTCTTGTGGCTCACTGTTCTCCCCCCACAGCTCACTTCCAGGCAAGTGTTGAAACTCCACCGCAGTGGCAAGCCAAGTCACCAAAGTCACAGAATCATAGAACGTTGTGAGTTGGAAGGATCCCACAAGGATCATGGAGACCAACTCCTGTCCCTGCACAGGACAAGCCCAACATCCAGACCATGTCCCTGAGGGCACAGGTTGGCCAAATGCTGCTGGAATCTTGTCAGGCTTGGTGCCATGAGCACCTCCCTGGGGAGCCTGTGCCAGTGCTCCACCACCCTCTGCCTCAAGAACCTTTTTCTCATGGCCAACCTCACCCTCCCCTGCCCCATCTTCCTGCCATTTCCTCTATCCTAGAAAGAATCTAGGAAAGTGTGAACTAATAAAGCCAATAAATATAGTGATACCTCTCCTCCAGGGCAATTTTCTGATTCACAGAAGCCTGTTGCTCAGACTGTGTTCCAGGGTGATATCTTTGTGTTTAATAACTCCTTATGGCATTTTTCTTCCACATATTTGTCATTGCCATTAATGTGATCTTAAAACATTAAATATGAAATATGGAAGCTTATTTTAAAGATTTATAGTAGAACTTGTACCAGAACCTAAAATATTTACCACTCCTCCCTGGCCCAATTTCAAATCGAGATAGTCCTCTGGTTTTGGGCATCTCACATCGTGTGCCATGGCTCCCTGAGTCCAGTCCCCTGGTCTAGAGAATTCCAATCCAGAGACTGCTCAGCTCTATGGCAACAGGACCCTAGTCTTATCTCTAAC